TTGAGGAAGTGTGTCACACCCCCAAACCAGAACGGCATAAACGTTCGGGGGCGGAGGACGTCATATTCAGTATCATAACAGTTCATAGAAAGGAAAGTACACACCACCATATATATTAAAGTTTCCAAAATGTTTACATATTTGTATTCGTTACATGTTCACAAGTTAAATACATAAACATCTTTTAAAAGAAGTAATTAACGTCAGCACGGTAATCCCCAAAAGTTGATTTCCAAATCTGCTTAGCGGTTCCCTGAGAATACAAGTTATTTCAAAGAAAAAGTGTCAACAGTTAAGTTGGTGAGTTCGTAAGTAGTGTAGAAAAATTGAATGCCATTCCAAAATGGGTGTATGTTTTCCAGAAAACGCAGTATTTCAAATGTAAAGAGTTGTGATTTGTTGTGTTGAAAGTGAATGTATTAGATCCAGAAAATCCCATATTTTCCCTAATGGTTTAGATATGAATTGTTATGTTTTCCAAGAAAAACCCTTATTTTCTTATAAAAGTATGAAATGCATATGAATATTCGTGTTATAAGTTGTAAATAATTGCACCAGGAAAATCCCTTATTTTCCTATTAGTTGTTTGGTTTGTATACAGGAAAATCCCTTATTTTCCTAACATGACTGGCAGTCCCTAAGACCGAAAGTTGCAAGAAACCGTCGTTCTTAAAAGTTGTGTCATAGTTTTATATAATAAAGCTATACGAAGATCGCATTTGTTAGATGAAGAATAGTTTCAATAGCTACTCGTTCATAAAAGCATAATACCATAATAATTGTATATCCAATGAGTTTTATAACCATACTAAACATAATATGCCTGTAACGACGTTCTTCAGGCGTCGCAGCGTTATGACAATTGTCACCCCAAAGGACAGACTGTAGCTAACAGTCAGGGTGTGGGATCATGACTTCCCGTATAGATCTATACACATTTGACACGTTCTCCGAACGGGAGAGTCTGGTTATAGACAAGACTTGCAGCATTACTTTCTAATAAAGAAAAGTAACGTTTGAAGATATACACGTCTCATGGATTCTCAACTAAGTTTGTATTACAGTGATAGTTTTGTATGCAAAGTTTATCCTTTTTCACAATGTTTAACAAAGCAAAATCATAAGTTTATAGAATGTATAAAACGATTTAGCAATTAAAGGTACTTTGAAATCATTATATACTTTGTATAATGTCTAATGCATGCAAAGTATGACAAGAGTTTTCCGTAATAGTAATGAGTTCCAAGTGATTTATTCGATAAAACAAGTGAAGTGAAACTTTATAAAATACACGATAATAACCATATGTTTACTTGTATTCCCCCCCTAAAATAGTATAAAAGCATTTAAAATGTATTTAAAGTGTGTTTGAAAGGGGTATGAACTCACTTGATAGATTGAAGAAGGTGAGACGAAAGTCGAGCAGAACTTCGATTGGAAAGAAGTCGATTTCTCGGAAAACTCGGGACTTCGGGACTTGCATCATGTGTTGGAGGTGTTACCGGGGCTTCGGGGTAGTTTAGAGGGGCTTAATAGGGTGTAGAAGTAGGAGAAATGATAGAAATGAACAACCAAAGCTGGCTGCCCACGATTCCTGTTTATAGCGTGAATTTTGGGTCTCACGTCGTGGGTTTTTCATAATTCACGTCGTGGGTTCATCCAAAATCGTCATGGAATGCGTCACATGTCAAGTGGCTTTGGAAAGGTCATTCAAGGGTTTCACGTCATGAGTTTTACAAAACTCACGTCGTGAGTTCTGACACAGATTCGGGATTCGTGCCCGAACTTCAGAAATTCATAACTTTTGCATCTGAGCTCCGTCTTAGACATTCTTTATATGCACGCGTAGGTGAGGTTATGCTCTACAACTCTCGTTTAGACTCCATTAGCTAATTTGACTTTATTTTTACTATATTATTGATATATTATCTTTATATTATTTTTAGTAGGCCGGGACACGAAAACTCCATCATAAATCCATAAGTTGTTCATCCAACGTCCGTTTTCATCAGACTTTTTACCGTTCCGATACTATTGTTGAGACCTTCGATTCTCATTTAGATTGTGTTGGCCAAAAGTCTCTCGATCTCTATTTCGAGATTTTAGCTGTCTACTATTATATCTGTAACTTAGAAAAATCACAACTTCCTCATACGAAGTAAGATTTGGACGTTCTTTTATGTACGTTTACGGTTTGATGATATCTAAAACTTTCATTTAGATACCTAAGGCCAAAAACTATTGTATTGAAACATCGCATTTTACATTTATCAGCATTGTCGGGTTTGCCGAGAATCTTCGGTTGGTCATAACTTCTTCTTTATAACTCGGATTTTTGGGTTCTTTATTTATATGAAAACCTTGACACGATTCATACTACTTTATTTAACCCAAATGAGATTGTGGGAAAGTTAAATTTTGACCTAAATTTGACTTGCGTTCCATCATATTGCCTCGAAATATCGGGTTGTCATAAAGTGTATAGCCGACGAGTTGGCAGTGGTGCCATTAGAGGATATTCAGGTGGATGCAGGCTTGAACTATGTTGAGAGACCGGTGGAAATTAGGGATTTGAAGGTCAAGGTTCTGAGGAACAAGGAAGTGCCTTTGGTGCAAGTGTAGTGGCAGCATAGGAAGGGGTCAGAGCTGACTTGGGAGCCGGAGCGCGAGATGCGTGAGCAGCATCCTCAGTTGTTTGCAGAATGAGACTTCAAGGGTGAAGTCTGATTCTAGTGGAATCCCTGGTATATTATTTAAATATTTATTTTTGGATTATGTGAAGGAACTCGGCGAGTTGATGCGTACACTCGCCTAGTAGGGTCGTGGTTGTTCATCCGGGTTCGCATTAGACTCGGGGAGTCCATACTGTTTAATGAAACCCCAATCCTCCGGGGTTGGAGCCTATTTAAGGGCACTCTTAGCCTTCCATTGTGGCTACTAGTCCCTTGAGAGCACACTTAGTGATCTATATCGTTTGGGAGGAAGGAGAATCCATAATTGATCTTGCTATCCTTGGTTTGGCAGAAAGAAGGTGATCAAGAGCAAGAGGAGGCTGAAGAAGGTGTGATTCAAGTGGTCTTAGAGTCTAGAGACTTCAACTTGAAGTATTCATTCGAACCTTCTTCAGTTGTGGTATTGAACTTAAAGATTAGGGTTTTCTAACCTCCTTTGAGGATGTTTAAGTAGAGCAATTGGTCCCTTATCGAGTATATGCTTTGGATCCAGACTTAAAGAGGTCCAGAGACTTCAATCCATTAAGCTTTATGAGTCCTTGTGGGGTGATTGGACTTAGGTTGCCATTTTTCGGACTAAATCACCATTTGATGCCATTATGTATATATATATAAGCATCAAGTTTCGAGCTTTATGTGATTATATTGCTTGGGAAGGTTAGATCTAGGGATTTGAGGAACAGATCTGACATCAGGAGGTCAATAGAACTTGTGCATGGCATGTACTCGCCAAGTTGTTCTTGGGACACGGTGAGTTGAGTTAGGGTAGCCTCGTCATTCTTGCCTAGGGACTCATCCAGTAAAGGGAGGGACTCGACATGTTAAATGGGACTAAGGAGTTAAGTGGACACAAGTGGACTCACCGAGTTGCCCAAGTGCACTCACCGAGTCGGGTCAAAGTTTGACCATTGACTTTGGTTGACTTTTAGGGTGTGGTTAGCAGTGGGGCCTTTTGAGGTTTACGGGAGTATTTGTTTTATGTGTTTAGGCGGAGGCTAGATCATATTCTACCGAGTCAGTGATTTACCGAGATATCAGAGGTGAGTCTTCTCACTATACTGTACTTGGAAGGGTACCTATGTGTGAGCGGAAAGTCGGATGTGCTATATGATATATATGCATTGTATGTGATTAGTTACCCGTTTTGTATGTGCTATGTGTGTTATGCTTGATATGGACCGGAAGGCATTATGTTATGAGCCAGAAGGCATTATGTTATGGGCTGGAAGGCATTATGTTATCGGCCAAAAGGCATTGTGATGTGGACCGGTAGGTCGACACAGGTAGGACCGGAAGGTTTACCGGGTTGGGACGGAAGTCCCCTGAGACAGATGGACCGGAACTTCATGGCCTGGAAGGCCGTATGTGTGTAAGTGGTATTTTGGGGAACTCACTAAGCATTGATGCTTATAGTTGTTGTGTTATGTGTTTCAGGTACTAGCGAGGACCGTGGGATGGCGTCTGCATGATCTGTACCCGCTGATGGAAGATTTATTTTATGATCTTGGGATGTATTTTTATTATGATGACATTTGCTAAACATGAGATTTTAGAATATTATATGATGGTTTATATGGTTTGAAAAATGAATTTTTTTTTTTGTGAAAATTCACATTGTTACATATTTTTCTTCAGATTTCTATAAAATCCAGTCAATTAATATTAATCCATATCATACTTGTTTTTATGGCTACATTAGTCACGCAAGTACTTCTTCCATACTTTTGGACTTATTTGCAGTTTTGGAATTTGATTGAAGTTGAATCCAACCTTAAACCTAAATGAAAATAATTATTTCACTATTTCTTAATAAACAGTTAATCCTAATTCAACAGGATGCCTCACAAGCACTTTCAAGTCTCTCTTGACTCCGAATGAAGAGATCGTATCCCGGGATCCAGCTGTTTTTATGTCGATTTATAATTGACAACACATATTCCCAGATATAATTTGCTTTATTTCTTTTTATTTGGCACACTCTTGCAAAAAAATCCTTGTGAGTTTTCATAAGTCTCATCTCACAATTCCGAGTGGTTACATTCAATTTAAAAGCAGGAACTCACTACTAGTTCCGAAAAGGTTTTGGAGATTCATTCTAAGTTACGAATGTGTAGAACTGAAACGACAATTTTAAAAGGGATAAGATTTCAAAAATTGGCCGCATGCTTTTAAAAGGGAAACGAGACGTCTAAATAGGTGACTTTCTCTCTCCATCACTACCGTATTTAGGGCAAATTGACATTTCCTTTTTCTTCTCTAAATGCATCCATGGCTGCTTCATCTGAAACTACATCAGTTGTTGAACAAACAACTTCCACGTTTATGCTGAAAATCAAACATAATCAGAATCTGGATTTGGATCTTGAGTCTTCCAAGTATGCTGAATCTCTAAATCCGTTGATCGAAGGCCTCCGATATTCTCCACTTTCTCAGGCTCTAACAATGGATGAAAGTGTGTGGTTGATTCATCTGTCGAAGGCTTTCTCCATTGTACACTACAAATAGAGTGATGTCGTAATCACTATCAAGGTCGATTCTCACTAAGCCTCTATTCCCAAATCTCTATTTTGCAAGCTACTATGGTTTAATGTTACAAATCATCTTGTTGACCCTGAATAAATTCCGTCATCACCAATTGTCGAGATGTTTTACCAGATGCGTTATCTTGAAATCTTTACTCTTCTGTCAAAGTTCAAGAAGCCAAATCTTCCACCCATGTGGAATGCTCTCTTCACACTACTTTCACGAGTTTCTCTGAAAGAGTCACCGGCTCCGATAGTGCTAGCAAGCCCTTTTGCACATTGATATATAGTCCTTACAATGGGATTAACCTAGATTATGGTTTTGTTCTGTGGGCACAGCTGGTTAAAAGCACCCTTTCTTCATTAAGGCATTCATAGATATCTTGTGCAAGGTTCTAGTCAGTAATTGTCAAACATGCCATTACACGTCTTTAGGTTCAAGTTCACGAAAATTCTACGATGGCTGCTATTCTGATCCTCTTTACATCGAACTTCATTGTGTCTAATCCCACTAAATTTAGATTCTTTGGTTTGATTCCCAAAGTAATGCTCATCAATGCTTCGGATGATAATGTTGTGATAAACGAATACTGAAAGAAACCTGCTTCCGATGTTCATACTATGCTCGAAGACTTCTGAAGGGCTCTTCAAGAAGGAAACAAACTAAAGAAGGGTGGAAAGCAAAAATACAAGGAAGGTCCCTCAGAACCTTCAGCTACTCTAAAGAAGAAGGTAAAGAAAGTTGTTCGGAATCCTAGGTCTCCGACTCCAGTTCAAGAAGCTTCCAAATCTCGCACTCATTCGAATTTAAAAGAGCAATATACAATTCGGGATGAAACTGATGATACTACTACGACAACGCAACCAATGGTCTCAGAACCTTGTCCTAGTCACTCTATTTCAAAGGTATCATTTCCGATTCATACTTCAGTTACTTAACCTTCTTCTACTGCTACTTCTACACCCATCACTAATTCTCCTTGTCCCAATATATATGTTGGTATTTCGCAACTGCAGATATCGATTGCTCAAACCACTCCCCTATACACTGAATCAACAACAACCACAACCACTACTACGAGTACACCTGAATTGACTGTCAACGTATCTGATACGGGGGCAGGTACTTTTGGCTTTACCTTTGGTCAGGACTCTACTCCAATATCACCGCTGAGGAATGATGATCCGAATATGATCTTTGGTGACGATCGGGATGATTTTCAAGATTTTTACTACTATCCATTCAATGTTCACGAGGAAAGTGATGGATATGAACCAATGAAGTTGAATACTATACTTAAGTCTTCAAGGCGCTCACTGAAAAGTTGGATACTATACTTGAGTCTTCCAAAATGTCATCATGAAATGAATACTCCTATGAGTCTATCAAAGTGCTAATCGATACTTTCACCCAAGGAGCATGCCAAAAGTCTTGATGCTTCTACTAAAGTTGTTGAAAACTCCGAAAAGACCGTTCATGATATGACCAAAAAATTCTAAGAACTTCTTTCAAATGCTACTCAAATTATGGAGGACTTTTGGAGTTCCTCTAATATAAACACGAATGCTGCAAAAAAGTTAATTACAAGTCTCGACAACACTATTCAAATACAGAAAGATGCTTTATCCAAGGTTCATTCAAAATTCTAAGTAGACAGTGAGGAGATGAGTGCCTCCATCATTTCAAAAATTGAGAAGCTTCAAGAAGTTTTGACTATGGAGAATAAGATCTTGGAAAAGCTGGCTGTGAAAACTGAAAAAGTGAAAGTTCTTTCAATACATCTTGCGAATGCCAACCATCAGCTTGATACCTTAAAGTCTGAAAATGTTGTTATCAAAAGTTGTATTGCGATTGTTAACTTCTTCTTGCAAAATCTGGTAGAGACTCATCATTTGTTGCTCACAATCTCAATTCACCAACATCTCACTCACAAACTCAAACTAGTATTCTCCATGCCAAACAATATCGAGGGTGTTTCGGACACTAACACTTTTCCGAAACAAGGGGAGAAGCTAAAAAGGCATCTGATGAAGAATCCAAGAAACTAACTAATTAATTTGGTGGGTTCAAGCATAAGCCAAAACCGAAAGCAAAAGACCCGAAGGGTAATGAAGCTTTGGGATCAAAAGGAAAAGGAAAATTATATGATCATGATGAGGAAGCAGAAGACTTATCTGAATAGGCTCTAGTTAAAAGAATCAAATGTGACCATGAAATTGATGAGAATCTGCGGGTTGCAAAAGAAGCTGAAGCTCGGGAAAAGGAGGCTCGTGATGCTCAAGTCACACTCAAAACTCAGAAGGCCCTCTTTCCTCCTTGGTCAATAGAGCATATTTTGAATAAAGATGTTGACAATATGAATGTTTACTGTTCGGAACCAGTTGCTTCATTTGAACTGGAAAAAAACTTCGGAGTCTCAGCTCGACTTTCCTACAACTCCGAAGGCCTTTTTTGATGTTTTGATAAAGTTGAGAAAGCTTATAATTCAAACAACGATGCCAATATCATGCTTATCTCTTTTTATCTCAAGCATGGAAAGCCCCAGTATCAAACTTGGAGTTCGAAGAAGATTACCACTGTGAAGGTCATTGGTATTATAGAAACAGAAAGCTTTATTAATGCTTGGTTCAAAGCATCACGATGTGCAAGCAAATCAATCTTTGAATTCTCTCTTGCTGATATGTAGTTCCTTAATCCTTATGATTGGATTTCTTTGTTCCAACTTTTATCTAAAGATAACATAAATTCGAACCTATTTTGGTGCGTCTAAAAACGATATTCCACTTCTTTTCTACACTACATTGTAGGGATTACTCAACAACGCAAGGCAAATAATGCTTCAGATAAGAAATGCTTCTTATATATGATTAAATTGTATATCTCTGTTCACAACAACTTGCTTAGTCTGTGCCAAAACTCTTCAAGGTTCAGAAGCGCCCATAGTAATGAAGATTTTCCTTCCTTATTTGACACAAAGGGGGAGATTGTTAGGGTATTTAATGTGTTGTGTCAATAATGTATTGTACTAGAATCATCCATATTGTAACGAGCTGGGCCTGTTCACCCAATATTTAATTAGGGTTAGACTATTAATAGTGCGTGCATGCAATGCCATTAGGGTTAATCGTTTTTGTAATTCCCTACTTTGTCTTTATAGAACAGTTCACGTTGAATTATTCTAAGGCATTGAATATTAATCATTCGATACAATTTTGATCATTGTTCTAAACTATTTGATTCACTTTACAATTTAATATATATCGATCTACAAGTTTATTTTTTCAACAATTCCATAAGTAAGATGGAAGAGAGAAAGTATAGGGTTAAGGGTTTAGAGCTGAAAATAACAAATATCATGATTGATTGTGATTCACTTAGGATGGACAATAGTTTGATTGTAAAAACCGAAACATTTATTGTAATACAACAATGTGAGTCTATGGAAAGCTTACTCTTTTTTATCATTCATATGAGATTGCTAAAGAACACCATTTTATAATTCTTCCTTTCATTAACTTTATGAGAGAACTATTTGATGAAGTTACATTTGATTGTGAGTGTAAGGTTATTGTGAGAATAATAATTAAGATCAATATAACAAAGAATGTGAAATAAATAAAAAGAAAAAAAAGATCAAATGAGTGCGGAATTCTTGGGTTAAAATATCTCTTGGAGAGTTCTTAATGACAAAACTTCTATGTAAGAGCTAAGAAGGGAGACCAAAACGTTAACCCTAATCATACATGGATATGGAGATAGCGTGTGTTCATTGTTTAATATCATTCTAAAGGACGAAAAGAAATATGAGCCCATCATTACCCATCTGAGAAGGATGATCATATGCAACATTCAACAAATTGAAAAGATGGATATGGAGATAGCGTGTGTTCTAAAGAAAAGGCCAATTTGAAGCCATAAGAGGAACCAAAGGACCTTCATAAGCTAAAGGTTGGAAAAATCCGAAAGGAGCACTGGAGCATAGTGTATAACCAAAAGAAAGGTGAAACAGTTCAGAAGAGCATGTTCTTTTTACGAGACAAACATATGTACTCTTCCGCTATTCTGAAGACTATTCTATCCGTGAGCAAAGCTTACAAGGTCAACTTTGCTTCTGATCTTAAATGCTTTTTAGATATGATCAAATGGTACATGGCTATGCAAAACACACTTCTGAACGTATTGCCAAAATAATTCAACAGGCAAAGAAGAAACTAATGAAGACACTGCTTCTGATTTGACACAAATGGGGATATTACTAAGAAATCCCTTAAAATGAATGTTCACGAAGTCTTCTGTCGGAACTGGTGCTTTAACACTTACTGAACTGATCTTCTTTAAGCTCTAAGTCTTCATTTGAGGCTTGGCATACTTTATATAGAAGGAAAAGAGCTTTTGATTAACATAACTATTTGAGATCGGAGACTTTTCAATTTTCTCAAAGCAAAGAAACAGAAAGGCCCTGTGTGTGATAAGAAAATCAAGTTGAGATTCTGCATCATTATTCAGTTTAAATGAGACCTAAGGCTCAAGCCAATAGATTCTCAGTTCATTAACGGCCTCTTTCTGAATACTTTCCATTGACCATGGAGGAAAGATTGAACTCTATGATTCAAGAGTACTCTTTTCATTCTTAGCCTCCACTTTTTCTGCTTCTAACTCCTTTTGAAGATTCAGAAGATCATCAAGTTCTTTGTCACGGTTCTTTCTTACTAGCTTCTCACACTCAGAAAGCTCTTCTTATTCCTCATCATCTCTTTTCCGTTCGTTGATGCAGAAGCTTCATTACTCTTCTAATCAGTTTGATTCTTTGGCATTTGTTATTCATTCTTTTTCTTTGGCTAAGACTCTTTATTTAGCTGAGGCTCTTTGTTTAACTTTGGCTATTTGTCTCTCCCTTGTTTCAGAAGAGCTTCGCATCCTGAAACACCTTCACTTTGATTGAGCATCACAAAGACTAGCTGAAGTTTGTCTAAGAGGTGTTGTCCAAGTGAGACCGTGAAAAAAGAGTCACAAGTCTCCACAAGCCTTAGAAAATATTGATTTGTTTCAGACACACAGATTTTGACAATAGTCTTCACATTCTCAAGATCATTGATATGCTTTTTAGTATACCTCAGTTTAACAGAAACTATTTTGGTCTTTTGAGTTTTCTCAGCCAACTCATCCATGATCTTGTTTTCTATTGCTAAGTCCGCCTGTAGCTTTTCAATATTTGAAAAAAGATAGGATATGAGTTGAATATTCTCAACTTTAATGTCTAAATGAATAACAAATAAGGCCTCCCTCTAAGCCTTTAACGAGGTACGAAAGCCTTCAATGACGTTGTCCATGGCTTCGGTATTAGAGTCAGATGTCATTCGGAATCCAACCATAAATTAAGTGACCTCTTGTTGTAGTTTTTTGACTTTTGCATTCATTTCCAAATTATTCTTTTTCAGAAGCTTTAATCACCTTGGTAGATTATTCAAGGACTTTTGCGTTCTCTTTTGTCAGCATCTCGATAGTAGCCTTGTGGAATGATAACATGTACTCCCAGTTAGATGAAGATGATGAGTTGAAAGACTCTAAAAGAGAATCTAGTTTCTCATGAAGCTTTTTAAACTGGACTTTGGTCATTGGGGCATCATCATCGCTATTTTGGTTTATGGTGAAGGGGATGAAAACAAAGTTGGATATCTGCTTTTAAACATCTCCAAATAGGATTTCTTCATCCTCAAGAAAAGAAGAAGTAGGAGATGTTCCATGTGCTGAAGTGACAAAAATGTTGACATATGCTCCCATATCAGATACGTTGACATAAATGCCTAATGTATGTACCTCCTTTGAGAAGGACTCGGTAATAAGGACTTTCGGTGTACTAGTGACTGATGAAGTAGGAGGAGCAGTAAAATCTGTAGAGATGGGAGAGGATAGAGGGACTGAGCTCTGAGGAAGTAAAATGCCAACTGTACATATGGGTGGGAATGGAGGGTTAGAGGAGATCAGAATGGTAGTTGCAATAGGTGAAGATGGTGGAGTGTTTAGGTGAAAGTCATCTGAAGGAGGAACAAAAGTAGGAGTTGGAGATGATACATTCGAAATTGATTTAGTTGGATTTGGTTTCAAAGTAGCAGTAGTGTCTTCTTCTGCATGATGAATTTTAGCATCCATGTGAATTCCCGAGATAGTTCTTGATTCCAAGTCCTACTAAGCAACTAGAGATGGATATCTAGGTTTCTTAGCTTGCTTCTTAATTTTCTATGGGGCTTTAACTGTTTCAGAAATAGCTTTTCATTTTCCTCACCCCTTCGGTTTGTTTACCTCATCAATTAGTTTTCATAAATCATCCAGTATTGGAGGAACACCAGATGAAGGTAACTTCCGATATTCGTTCACAATCACATTATCATGAGAAAACTTCACCAATATTTCCTTGGGAATGGAGCTGATAAATGTAAAATTCATGGGGTGAAACATCATAAACATAGTTGTTTGGAGTATCGGAATATCATCCATGATAGAATCATGTATTAATTTGACTTTGACCATGACCGCTCTTGACCATAAGCGAGCACAAGAGATCTCCGTGTGGTGAATGGTGGAGACTATGCTTTGGATGAGTTGAGTCCACAAAATAGCACTGAAACAACCCAAAAATACGACCCAAAAATTTCGTTTTTCGATATAATCAAAACCATAATCAGAGTGTCATATAATAAAACCATACGTAATGTATTCCAACATAATAGAAAACACTGTGCGGAAAACTGTATCATACTACGTCAAATCAAAACAAACTAAATCAATCCCAGGCTAAAAGCTAAAGCTGTGGTGTGTGCGATGCCGTCACCCCGAGCTCTTCCCTTTGCTTGCGGAAGTACCTGAAACCAAAACTGAAACTGTAAGCACGAAGCTTAGTGAGCTCCCCCAAACTACCACATACCATACAATAACATATAAACACATATTGGGCCTTGCCCACTGCATCGGGACGAAGCCCGACAACTGCATCGGACCGAAGTCCGAAACTAACTGCATCGGACCGAAGTCCGAAACTAACTGCATCGGACTGAAGTCCGGAACTAACTGCATCGGACCGAAGTCCGGAACTAACTGCATCGCACCAAAGTCCGGAACTGACTGGGACCTTGTCCCCTGCATCGGACTGAAGTCCGGAACTAACTGACTGAGCATAGCGTAGCATAACATAACACCTAGCATGAACACATATACTGCATACTACATCGGGCTGTAGCCCGGAACACATAAAACATAGCACACAAATCCTGTCTGAGCCACGAAGGCATCAAACATACTAGCTACTGCATCGGATCAAAGTTCGGAAACTACTGCTAACTTAACGGGTCGGCATTGTGGCCTTAGACCCGTCCCTATTGGAAGGAAACTCACCTCGTAAACTGGCTGCTGAGTGTGTGGCTCTGGAATCTAACTGCTGCTGCTCTTGTATCTCCCCGG